TTGTTGCTACGCAGGTAAATAGCATTATTGAAAAGATCTTGTACGCACAAGGTATAGTATTATTTAGGTAGTCACCATTTTTATATCATAAAAGGAAGCAAACTCCTATCATGCATTGTTTATTTATTTTTTTTTTATTTATTCAATTCTTTATATATATTTTGGCAGCTCAAAGATGGACGAGACTATGACAAAATTGAATAATCAGCTGTTCTATTAGATCATTGTCTATGCATACATTTTTGTATTGCACATGGCCAAGTTTTCTCTGACTGCTTATGTCTGTTCTTTTACTGAATTCATTTGAGGTTTATTGGTTTAAATTAAATTACCGGAACAAGTAGTTTCATATATTTGTTTCCAGTTGTTTTTAGTCCAAGTTGTCCTGATTTATATGAATAATTTGTTTTTTTTATGACACATACATTTAAGGTTAAGTGTACGTAAGTGCAATCCTCTAGCGGAAATCGGGATAAAAAAGACGTGCTTCGTTAGTTACACAAGTTATATCTCTTACTCCAAGAAAGGAAAAATGGACACACGAAAGAAATGACATCGTTCTGTCTATCACGAATGCAAGTATACAAGTACGCCTGTGCTATCTCAGAACCTCAAAGAAATTATCTGAATGAATCCAATTTGAAATTGAGTGTCCTATTGTTAATTAACCTGGCTCTTTTACCACCGGTTTTGTTTTATACGCACATGAGAGGGTACACAAAATTGAGGGGATGTATATTACAATGTAAATAATATAGAGTCGTGACACAGACCAAAAAAGTATAAGCTGTTTCCAGCCGACATCTAAACTTTGTTTGAGCGTAACGTTAAGAATCATGAAAAGCATACCAACTTTATATTCTCGACTAACATTAAATCATGTCATGTTATGAAGGGATATACTGCATTTTTATTCCAACTTGTTTCTTGTATTGCAGAGCCCAAATAGCTTAGCACGGTGATCTCTGTGCCGGATATTGTCATATAAAAAGTGAAGTATTGCAAAGCTCGTATGTAACAGATATGCACTCCGTACGCAGATTGTTTTTATCATAATTGCATGTCATAATTATATTCTTATACTTATATCAATTTTAGATAAATCTAGAATATCTAATAGCTCATATTACAGTTTTGTTTGAATACATTTAAGACTCTAAATGGAGAAGCCAAGTAAACAGGACGTAGAATTAGTTCGCGAAATTATAAAACACAAAGGCAATTTGGTATTAGACAGTGAACAATTCATGCTTATAAAAACGACACTTTTACCCTTGCCTGAAGTTGTAAGTCTATATAATCTACTAGAACTTGTCAAAAGCTCAATGATAAGGATACAAGCAGAATACAACGAGAAAACAAACGAATGTTATGTTAATCCTGAGTTCTGGAAGTCCTCGGAGTTATTGCATGAAGTTCGTTCTTCTCTCTCTTGTTATGATTCCTCTCCTAAGATGTCAGAGATGATTGAAAAAAAATTTAACAGTATGAAAAAAAACTATAAAATAATTGATATTTTTTTGACGTTTCTACTGAACTTTTAAAAATTGGAGACGATAATGAGTTTCCCGGCATGCAAGATGAAAATATCAAACTGTGAACACATTGTTGTCATATTTAGTCCATACGGCAGAAGATGATCATGATTTGTGTTACAAAATATCACAGATGACAGAGTTTTTAAACACAGTAATTAAAAAACTTGATCAGTGGGTAGAGCCTTACTTCAGTAAAAGAAGCGAGCAATCAAAATATTTACCAAGAACCAATAAAAATAAATTGATATATTTTTGTGAATAAAAATAGTCGCGAAAATTTAAAATTTGGATCTTTCCTCATCTAAATACAACAAATGAATTTGAAATCGCGAAATTAAATCGCTGCGAAGTTGGCTAGAAAGGACTAAACGCGAAATAAAGTATCTGCAAAAATACGTTGGTTTACAGTACCTAATTTGAAATATTGTAGCCTTCACTCGAGACAAACTCTTGAATTTTGATTTCGAATTCAAAACCATAATTGCTGTTTTCAGTAATCAACGAAGGTAAACTTTGCATGCAGACAGTTACGTTATTAATGCCGACCAAAGAGGATATTGTTCATTTATCTATCTTTGATGGTAAACTTAAAATTCACACCACTGTCTTTGTTCTTTAATCAATGATAGGTTTCTGTGAAATAGAAAGATTTTCAAATACTGTAAATCGAGAATATTTAAAATTATTGTTGTATGTATATGTCAGTATTAGAAGGGATTACTGAAATTTTCTATTTGTTAAGTTAATAGCTTACTTTTTTCACATTATATAACTCATCATTGATTGATTGGTTAATCCTAATATACATTCATGTAGCGGTTTACACGATTGGCCGAAAAATCAATTTTTTTGTAAATAGTATCATAGATATTTAGCACATTCATCGGAAATGATAAATCATTATTAAACTCAATTGATAACTCTTTCCACGGCGGGTGCCACATGTGGGCCAGGATTCCGGAGCAACTGAGATCACCTCCCAGTTTTAAGTGGGGTTCGTGTTACTTAGTCTTTAGTTTTCTATGTTGTGTTTTGTGTTCTTTTTTTTTTTGTCTGGTTGTGTTTTTATTTTTTAGCCATGACGCCGGCATTGTCTGTTTATTTTCGTTTTATGAGTTTGAGTGTCCCTCTAGTATCTTTCGCCCCTCTTTTATTATGTTGGCGAAACATGTATGATAATTCTCAGTTGCCTTTTTTACATCTTGGATCAATTGGTATTAGAAAATCCATTCAAAGATGTTATCTAACAGTTCGCTTTCAAAGATGACAGAAGCTGAAGATATTTTTGAACTACTTTGTCGTTTGCTATATATATTATCTATGTTTAATGAAAACATTTAAAGAATTCGCGATGTAAAACGTATTGAAACGATGACATCTTATCTTAATTCGGACGACAATGGATTTCAGCTTCTCAGTTTAGCAGTCCTCAGTAATATAACGAATAAATCTGAAATTCAAACTTTGAAAAGCAACGATGGCATCATTAAGTATTTGGTATGGGCATTTTCCATGGTATTCAAGACTAAATGTGAATTTTGGGACATCTGGTCACTAACGGAGCAAGCGAAAAGTAAGAAAACTAACTTATGTGTATGATATCTGTTATGAAATGAATAAAATGAAATAGGAAACAAAAAAGGAGTTCATGGCAATTAATTACTCTTCTCAATCAATAGCTCTTCTCAATTCTCAATTAATTACTCTTCTCAATTGATTACTCTTCTCTTTTGATTACTGCTCTCAATTAATTACTCTTCTCAATTAATGACTCTTCTCAGTTCATTACTCTTGTCAATAACGTATTCTTCCCAATCAACATGATCAATAACTCTCAATTGCTTACTCCTCCAATTAATGACTCTTTTAAATTAATAACTCTCCTCAATTAATGACTCTTCTCAATCAATTACTTTTCTCAATTATTTGCTCTTTTCGGACTAAGTAGTGCAGGAAAGTTACCGAAAGAAAATATCATTCTGACATTATCTGACATTATCAACCTTCATCTTTTTCTCCCATGTTTTAATATTTTTCATCTTTTATACAGTTGTAAAACAGGTGGCTAGAAATGATTCCAACAAAAGAATATTTGTACAGTATGGTGCAGTGCCACTTCTTGTTGGAATTGCAGAACAAGGGGACACAGAAGAACAGTATGGTAAAAATATTTCACTTTACTCTTATTCATTAATTGCACATTATTTATAGATTTAGGTATTATTTGGGTTCTTTTTAGTCATAAACATGTAGCTCTTCGCCTGTTTTGAATTTCATACATCCCCAACTTGACTTTCAAATATTTTGCTGTGAGTATTCCTGATGAAGATAAATCCAGAAATGCGCTTCGGACACACGAAATATATAAAGTGTTGTTTAAATATTTTTTGTAGTCCTTGTCAAAGTGTTCACTTGGTGCTATTGATTTTCATCTCTGAAATAACATTGATTTAACGAGAACGATCCGAGTCAAAACCATTATCATTCAAATTGACAAATTCAAAGTTTTCTAACAATGACACAACTGTCAAGTATTAAAAAAAAAAATTATATACCGAAATATTTGAAATTAAGATTTGGTATAATTGCCAATAAAAAAACTCTCCGCCAGAAACCGAATGACATAGTTGACAACTAAATGTCTCCGAACGGCCTTCAACAATGAGCAAATCCATACTACATAGTGAGCTATAAAAGACCCCGAAATTACGATGTAAAACAATAAAAACGTGAAACTAACAGCCTGATTATGTACAAAACAGTAAACGAAAAACAATTGACCAAGTACAAATATGATATACAGCAACAATCGAAAACCAAATAATTACAGGCACTCGACATGGGACAGGCACATACAGAATCTCTAACCAGTGTCAATGGTGAACAATCTGAGAGAACTTGAAGTCACCGACAACTAGTTCTTAGCCACTAATGTCTAATAAAAAATCATGTATCTAAGTCTTTAGTATCGATCAATGAATTTAGTGTAAGGACGCCTTTAACAGTCAGAAAAAAAACATGACCTTTTGCAATGCCCACATACAGGTATCGACAGATAACTTGTTTTGTTATATTGGATGCGGGTGAGGGTGGATGAGACTTTGAAAGAATGGTAAATTATTTTGCATTATACAAAACATGTTTCAGATGCCTTTGTAAATTAACGGAATCGATTCATTAATTGATAAATTTACATAAAAATCTACTTTTAACTGCAGTTTAAAGCATCATCTATTGCTTCACGTATTTTCGTAATGGCAGTAACGTGCTCAAAATCATTATTATTAAAACAATAGTAATACATGTAATAATTGTTAAATTAATATTGTTACTTTTGGATGGCAAAACAATAAAATCATTATATAGATTTTGCTCAAAATTTTGCGCTATGGTTAAACGGTATCTTTATGTAAAAACTGGCGTGAAACATGTAATAACATTAAGTTATATTTTACAGAAGCGTTGTGTAGTCTCTCGAATCTATCACTTTACAAACAGAACAATTCACAAATGATCGAGACGAAAGATTGGAAACTTATTGAAAATCTAGAAAGACTGGCTAAATCACTTGAAGAAGCCGTTAAAAAAATCAGCTAGAGGCTTTGTGTGCACTACATAACAATCAAAGTAGGTTTACATATTTGTGCGTTAAAACAGATTTCTTTTTTTGATTTATAGCTCGAAAGTCAGTGTTGTCCTTTTAAGGTCAAGCAATATGACAGGCAAATACATAGTTTGCAAATTTGAATTCTGACGTGTACTTATTATATTTAGTGAAAAAGAAGAGCGGCTGTATTTAGTTCAAAATTAACTCCCTCAGGCAAGGTTGATCTTAGATGGATTTGGCAATTTTAAGTCCTTTTTTGTCATATAGCATTTACCTGTTTCGGTTGTTATACATCCTTGGCTTTCAAATATTCGGCTTTGAGATAAATCCAGAAAAGTGCTTCGGACGCATAAACTTTATCATGTTTATAAAAAATAAGAACAACACGTTATGAATTTCAAGCGTCCGAAGTGCTTTTCTATATTTACCTTCATCAGGAACGCTCAAAGCCGAATATTTGAAAGCCAAGGATGTATAAGGACCGAAAACCTTAAAGAGCTGTCAAACCAAAAAAGATCCTAACATAATAGCCAAATCCATCTAAGGCCAATTTTACCCGAGGGAGTTGAAACCTTAGTCTTTTTACAATTTCAACATTTATAAGCGAGCAATTTGGAAACTTTGTTTCATTTTATTTATAACGTGTTATTTATGGCCGAAAAAACTATAACTCAGCACAATGGAAACCTGTTGGTTGATATTTCTTAGAATAAAGTCTGCGTGCATCTAATCTAATGTGTTAATTTTAGATAGGTTGAGATTGATACAATGAAAAAAAGATATATAGATAAAAACTTATTGCCATTTTAACAGCACAACTACCGGAATGCTTACAAGAAATCACAACAGTTACAGAAGAATGGCAAATATGTAATGACCTGAGACATATAACAGACGTACAGCTATCAGTTTGTCCATATAGAATTGATGGTTTTGAATTTGAAATCACAAATACGTTATGCGTCTTGAGTGAAAGTAACAATATTCCAAAATATGAATAACGATCACACTGTCATAATCTAACAATTTGTCTGGAAAAGGAATGAAAACTGTTGAATATCTGGCTAGTGGGATGACGGAGGGAATTTTACATTGAAGTTTTCAGGTACCAAGTGCAAAGTTTTACAGTAAAATCTTGTACATCAGTCTTTGTTTGCTACTTGTTGTAATAAAAAAAAATAAAGGACTATATATATTGGTTATAGCGGTAACCTCGTCTGATAATTCAAGGAAGAATTGTAAAATGCACTATAAGAGAGATGCACTCAGAGCTGTTTTACAAAATCAAGTGATTTGTAGCTGAACTATAACTGTATAGACGTTTGTACAAAGATGAAACTGTATAAGCTTTAAAAATATATCATGTAAAATGATAATTAACGAAGATTTAGTTTCGAAAGATTGGAAGACCACAATATTCTACAAAATATGACAAAACGACATATACGTTTACTTTTCTACATTGGCTAGAGGTATAGGGGGAGGGTTGAGATCTCATAAACATGTTTAACCCCGCCGCATTTTTGCGCCTGTCCCAAGTCAGGAGCCTCTAGCCTTTGTTAGTCTTGTATTATTTTTAATTTTAGTTTCTTATGTACAATTTGGAGTTTAGTATGGCGTTCATTATCACTGAACTAGTATATATATTTGTTTAGGGGCCAGCTGAAGGACGCCTCCGGGTGCGGGAATTTCTCGCTGCATTGAAGACCTGTTGGTGACCTTCTGCTGTTGTCTGTTCTATGGTCGGGTTGTTGTCTCTTTGACACATTCCCCATTTCCATTCTCAATTTTATATTTCACACATAGATATAGAGTGGAAAAAATGTACCACAACAGTGTTGACATGAAAGTTATTGTTTATATAGACAAACATAATTTAAAATCATCATATTTACCAGGGTTGAAATTAAGAACTCCAGACGAGTGTTTCGTCTACAACAGACTCATCAGTGACGTTCCCATTAAAAAGTTAAAAAAGCAAATCAATGACCGATGTTGAAGAGCATTGCGGATCAACAATTCCTGAACGTTTGACTAAATACAGTAGGGTAATCTATATATTCCTTTGGTAGAATTTATATAGTTGGTACTTACATTTGCTCTAAATTTGCGGGTCCAAAAACTATATATGTGTCGCAACATCCCACAGAAAGCATCTTTTCGTGACATCAGATATAAAGTTATTGTAACGTCAATGATCGAAAACTATTTTTTTTCAATTTTGCATCACCTGAACTTTGAAAAATACAAAAATTTAAATATTCTCTTCAAAGTAAAACATACAATCTTATGTCACCTTGTGTCCTTTACACTAATGTTAACGCTATTATCCACCTATTTTATTCTATACATATATTTGGCATATATTCTTATAGTATATCTGACGAAGAATCGTCAACAGAAGAAATAAATTGTTATCATGGAACATCGAAGGTCTTTCTAGCGTTAGCATCATGGAACGAACAAGTGCTGTATTAGCAATCATAAATAGATAAGTGTACCGTGTGATAAAATAGTAGCTGCAATATTACCAGCATGAACAAATACATCGGATTAGTTCTAGTATTGGAAACATTGGAGTTTCAACTTTGTTCATTTCTTGTACTTTAATATTTTGGATAATAAGTGCATATTTGAATAATTTAAATTTTGCTAAGTTGCATTGTAGACTCGCATGCTAATTATTGCTTTTAAGAAGAAGAAAAGAACAGCCAAATAATATTTACCAGGAATCAGAGGTACATTTTGAAACACTTAAATTCAAACTTTGAACAGTTTCATTGAACATGTTGAAGACTGTCACACTCTGACTATTTTTGAAAAGTATACGTAATACTGAACCTGCAATCAATGACTGTAAAGATTTTGAATATATTTGTAGCATATTTTACTGGTGGTAATTTAGACATGTTAGAATTTGACATATTTTAAAGATTCTTGTTTATTGTTGAAGTCCAAAAGTTTACTTTTTTATGTGGTCAGTTAGCCCTTTCATCGCTGCATATATCCTCAACTTATTATCTACATTCATTTATAACAATAGAAGCTTGCATTCTGACTTTATAATTTCCAATCGACTGTTATCAATAGTTACACTTAATTTTAATTGAAGGGAAAGACCTGATGTAATCTTTCTACAAGAAGTCATCGATGCTACGTTAGAAATGCTGTCTAGGAAATATCTAGATTATATGTTTATAGAATCAGGTGTTAAAAGTTATTTCACTGTAATTATAAAGCATAATGTTGTACAGGTTACAGACTCGAAGATCATTACTTTTAATAGCAGTAAACAGGGAAGGACGTTACAAAAAGTTGAGGTAAGAAAAAACTGGATGACATTTTGAACAGGTTTGAAAATTTGAATATTTTGATCGTTCGAAAGTTCTAAGTTTCCGCATTACACTATGTTTTATTCAGCGCACGACTTGGGTAAAATGTCCTGTTTTCACATAATTCTTACGTAAGTATCAAAATTAAAAGCATTTTTGAATAAATTATATAAGAAGCGTGCAAGCATAAAAACACCTTATCGCTATTTGTACGCCATTACTGGACATCACAAAGGTTCCCGTAAAATTTTTACGTCATAATACAAAATATCTGACACCACAGTGGAGAGGTGATTGTTGTGTGACGTCAATAGTTCAAGCGGGTGTTTTTTGTAGATTGTATTGTTAAAAGTTATGCAGTTATTTTACTCGTGTAAATTGTTGCACATTATTTATAGCTGCTTGACTATACTGTACGGGTTTTTTTCTTATTGTTAAAGGCCGTATGGTGACCTATGTTTACTTACATCCACGTCATATGAACTCCTGCGGAGAGTTGTCTCATAAGCAATCATACATGTACCACATGCTCCTTTTTATATGGATAATTATTCATTGAGTAAAGGGCACTGCAAGAAGACACTGATAAAGATACATGTATGTAATACAAATTTACAGATAGCTTAAAAAACTTATCAGAAGATCACTGGGTCGTTGTCTCATACTCCTCGGTCAATTACTGTTTGTTGTTGTAAGCCATTTACAACCAATAGAATATATGATCAATAATTCAGTTAGATAAGACTTCATCAAAAGTGCACACGTAAAGCTGGTTTAACGTTTAGTCTTCAAATCTTTTCATCATAACTTCGTTATCGAATATGCTTTTCAACTTGCTGATTCAAGCGCAACCGGTAAGTCTTGTATAGATGAAAAGCGCGTATTTTGCTTACTGAACTATCAGCTTTATATCTTTAATAAGAATTTAAAACCACTGGGTCAAGGAACTGCTGGTGAACGTTTCGTTCTGATGGTTTAACCAGCGAAGTAGTTAACACTGGAGTGCTGAAATGAAAATAATTGGCTCGACCATTTTCCATAAATTTGTCGTTTATATAATTTAAAATCATTTGAAAAATCATTTGAAAAAAGTTTATTCAAGCACCATGTTTGATCCGTGTGTACAACAAATGGAAGCCTGTCGTGCTTAATTAAAAACCTCTAGGAATCCTTAATAAGTTTTATTGAACCCCACCACATGCACATTGTGTGCCTGTACCAAGTCGTGTTTTCTGTGTCACGTGTTGATCGTTGTTATTTCCCTCTATTTGTAAGTCAATGTTTTCAGAGGAGTCGGTTGTTGTTGGTTGGCGGCAGTCTGTTGTACTGTCCAATACTTCTGCAAACTTTTTATGTATTAGCTAAGGATGTAATCTCGATTCAGATAGAGACCATTTTAATGAATAACAACAGCACTCAACGACGGGTGCCACATGTGAAGCAGGATCTGGTCACCCTTCCAGAGCACATGAGATAATCCTGGGTTTTTGGTTGGGTTCGTGTAGCTCAGTCATTAGTTTTCTATGTTGTGTTTTGCATACTGTTGTTTGTCTTTTTGGGTTCTTTTCTTTCTTTTTCATGGCGTTGTCAGCTTATTTCAGACTTATGAGTGTGAATGTCCCTTTGGTATATCTTTTGCCTCTCTTTTTTTTATTCAATCCGGTAAGAGAGTGTCTTCTTTGATTTTATGAATTGTAGAAATAGTTTGCATTCTTTTATAGACATCCCGATGATTGATCGACTTACCACGATCAGTATGCACACAACGGTTTATGATAAGTTATAATTGCATGGTTACAATCACTATATATCCTTGAGTGGTTGATGATTTATAACCAGCTACAATGCCTGTACCACAGTTTTATGTAGTATTGATGTCGTTTCTGTAAAATGCTTTGAAGAATGTTTCCCTAATTTGATTTGTTTAGTCCTTTTTCACCACTTTTCTCTATATCTGTTGACTTATGAAATGCAATTTACCTCTTTCTTTTCTAATCTCCCCGGATATGGGAATGTTGTGAAAAGTGAATTGACAAAAACACAAAACTCAAAGAAAAATTTAAAACGGAAAGTCCCTTGTCAAATCTCAAAATCAAAAGTTAAAACACATCAAACGAATGGAAAAACAACTGTCATACTCCTGACTTGATACAAGCATTTATCAATGTAGAAAATGGTGGATTAAACCTTGTTTTATAGCTAGCCAAACCTCTCACTTGTATGACAGTCGCATAGAGTTCCATTATATTGACAACAATGTGCGACTACAACAAATAGACATAATAGGTAAAAATGTCATCAATTAAGGTAATAACTCATAAACAATAGTCAACAATGTGCTATAATCTTAATCACTATTATAATAACAACAAACAACTATGGCAACAAAGAAAAACAAAATGGAATATAGACAATCTATAGACAAAGCACGTTAGCAAAAATAAAAGACAAGAATACAAAAAAAATCGATGGCGTAAATTTCGGCCACACTGCCGTATCGGTCACAGTCGTTTTGGCATACTGTCAGTTCGGCCATAATTTGTAAAGTCGTTTCGGTCATGGTTTTGTTTTAATTGTCATAAAGGGAGGAAAATATAATAGACCACTTTCGAGTTTGTTGCACTTCCGTTGGTTCCAGTGACTATCATTCGCGCGTTTAGGGGCATCATGACTATCCCATCGCACTTTGAGATAAATGATACAACAGATACAGTAAAGTCCGCCTCATATCTTGATTTACAGTTAGTAATTGACAATGAGGGTCGGTTGAAAACAGAACTTTACGACAAAGAAATGATTTAAGCTTCCTAATTGTGAACTATCCATTTATATATAGCAGCATTCCAGCAGA